ACATATAAAACTTCATCTATACTCTAATAAAAAGTTTCCCAGACCAAAGAGGTCACCTTAATACCAAAAAAAAAAAATAATAAAAGCAAATTTGAAACATTCTGTTAGAATTAATAATTGTTATTAGTTTCAAATAACTATTGAATACTTTAATTCTTGTTTTTTTAAATATTAATTTGTGCTTATAGCAATAATTAGGCATGAATATTCCATAAAAATTTCTTTTTTTTGCTAGTTAGATTACCAAAATTGCTAGTAATTGCATCTGATAACTGTTTTTTTAGTTGACAATTTGAAGAAAAAATTTTTGTTAAACAAAAGTAAAAAGTTTTATATATTCATCAATAATATATTATAATAAATATTTTGACAGCTAGTTTATGTAATTAATATATTCTAAAAAATTTTCAGAATATTGACCTGTCACTAATAAATAATTATATGTAAGATAAATGTAAACATAAAAAATTCATAATTACACATTATAGAGATAAAATTTAAACAATGAACTTAAAAATTGCATTCCCAACTGTAATTGAAGTTAATAATTTAATTTAAATTATTAAATGCACACTAGCCAAATAAGGCAAATATTAAATTTATTAGAAATACTTTATTGATATAAGCAGCAGTATGGTTTCCCAATTGAATAAAGCAGGCCAGCTATTAATCAGAATTTTTTAATAGGAGAATTAAAAAAGTTTAATATCAGCCAGTGGTTTTCCAAAGAATTTATATTTACTGTGAAAATGGCAGAATTTACTGAAGTGGGTGGGGTCATGCAAAAACTGGAACATGTTTTTTTAAACACAGATAGGCTTCTACTCTCAGTTTCACCTCTTTTATTTCAATCATACTCACCTAATTGTGTTTTAGATTCTAAAACAAGCAATACAATTAACTATATACATCTTAATGTAATTCTTTGTTATTGTTGCAAACAGGCTTCTAAAATTTTTTTTGCTAATCAGTTGTTGCAAACTGGCTTCCCACCAAGTTGGCAATCCTATGGCCACATGTTATAATGCAAGCATATGCTGTCTTTTCAATATGTTAACTTTTTCTTAACTCAAATGACACTAATACTAAGTACAATAAATATAATGTAGTATGAAAATATAACAATCAATCAAATTGCCAATGTCAAATTAAATGTAGTTCAATTGCTATAGCAAGCTAGCACAGACAAATATAGAGCTTTAATGGTATAGGCATTAATTATAATACCCTTTTATAATCTTTCTTTACGCCTTTTCAATCTATCAACTAACTTCCAAATCTTTCTTCTGATCTTGTATTTCAGTATCTCAATAATCTAATTTTAAGAATAACAGAATTTTTTTTTTTTAATATTAAGGTGACCACTTATATCAGCGAAATATATTAACGTAATTTTACTTAAGTTATTATGGCCCGAAATATTGTGCAATAATTACGGTCTGGACATAATATTGCGCAAAAAGTTGTGAAATATTGCGCAATAAATAACGTAAAATTACGAAATATATTA